TACTATTCAAGACAACGCATCCTACTGTTTAGCTAGTACTCTTTGTAACTGTGTGGACCATCGTACATGTATTGACCTAATGGACAGTTTGATAGTAGAATTTGGTACTGTTTACTTTAATAGAATCCGGAAAAATATAGCTAAAAACCAAACTTATATATTCCTAGTACTAGTATAGCATATATATTTACTATATTAGGCCTCAAATAGCGTGTATTAGGCCTAGGAAGGTTAGGTTAGGTTAGATTTATTAGCAATATATATATACAAAACTTTTTTGCGGTGTGTCCAAATTCTACTTTTTAATTGTTCATTACGTCACTATGTTTGATGATCCACAGCGTTATTATAATTACGTAACAGGAGTGGCCGTTCAAGCCCAATTTTTAATAAAAATATCTTGTATATAAGCATTTCTACTTGTATTTTTTTTGTATTTTTCAGTTTAGTATTTTTGCATTAATTCATGCATTTATTAGATCTTATTTTGACTAAATTCTCGCAGCAAACTTGCTAAAATAGAGCGAGTTATCTTGAGAGCCGTAGACAACATTAACAATAGAAGTGAGTGAAGGGATCACATGGTACTGTAGAGTACATGTAAACAGTGGCAGGACTGTAGAGGTGCCCAGTGTAAATACACTAGGGATGTATGAGGACTAGTAGTACCTAGTGTTTGCACAGTAACACTACTTGTGTAGTATAGTGACTAGTTCTGCCTAGTATGGTGACAGTAACAATACTAGTGTAGAGTAGTGACTAGTTGTACCAAGTGTTGTGACAGTAACATCACTAGTGTAGTGTGATGAGTAGTGTTAAGAATGTAATTACACTTAAGACGTATGCTGTTGATAGTTTTTTTGCAAGGATACTCCTGCACGGGCCCCAAGCCTCTGGTTGCCCCATTTTTACTCATTTGTGTCTTATGCGGTGGATGAGTATTTATGACTCGTATATCTTTAGTTAGATTATATGTTGCTACAGTGTTTATCAACACTTGGGAAGTATGATGCCTGAACATTTGCTCATGTTGCGTTGATGTCTCTAGAGTGGCGGTATGACGCTCATTTCTGGACTGTTGGTTAATTTGTAAGTCCAACATCACTTTAGACTTATATATGGACGAAATACCTCATTGAAATGTAGACTACCTATTAAAAAACAATTTCATTAAATATTTGTTTAACCTTACGAGAAATGTGGGATTAAAATAATGTAATCAGTCAGACCGTACTGAGGAATTGATGTGGTTTATATCATAGATGGGAACCCGGCGTTGCCCGGGTCTCTCTCCTTCTCTCCCTCCTCAGCACGTTTCACCCCCTCCCCCCCCCCCTCTCTCTCTCTCCATTTATTTCTCCGTGTATCCATGCATTTGTCAATCTATCTAGCTATCAGTCTACCTATTTTCTTATCCATTCTGTCCATCCGTCTATCTATCTATGCCCTTATCCATCTCATGCAGGCATACACTCCACTGTTATATCTCAATATACTCAGCGTTACAATATTGTCACAGTATAGATATACCATTAGCATGCACCAGACTTCCTCCCAAGAGACTTGCGAAATTGGCGAGGGAACACAGGGGTTACCTACTCACAGCTAGGTGTAAATATAATGTATTTAAACAATATACACATTATATATACGCCAGCCAACAACTTCACTATGTATCACAAACCGAGATCCACATCATCCACCGCTGGTCACATCCTAAATCCTAATTATCCTCTCAGTAAATCTCTGGAGACTGAACTCTACCTGAAATTTCAAGCCAAATGTTTGTTAATCATAGTCATACGTGAGTGTGGATGAGTGTGGTCACTAGGTGGGTGTGGGTGAGTGTGGTCACTAGGTGGGTGTGGGTGAGTGTGGTCACTAGGTGGGTGTGGGTGAGTGTGGTCACTAGGTGGGTGTGGGTGAGTGTAGCCACCAGCTGGACACGAGGAACCAGCACTCAGCTATACTTGCTGAGTTCACCATCTATCGTGGCCCTCTGCATCCATGTCCTGTCCAGCACTGAGTCTTGTCACTTGTTTATTGTTGTTGTTGATTAAGATTCAGCTACTTAGAACGAAAACTTCCAAGTAGCATGGGATATGGTGAGCCCGTAATCTTGCCACTTGCTGGCGTCTCTATATTCAGCCTCCTCAAATTACTTCCGGTCAACACGTGATCCTGCGCTCCCACACCAACAAGGCCTGACCAAGACCGTCCCAAATATCACTTCTGGTCACCTCTCTGACACCAAAGGCCAGCTACGAAAGCCATCCGTGCCTAATGAACTACCATAAACTTAAACAACCGGCGTCCAGAGGGTGCTAACCCCACACCAACTCGAATCCAAATCTGCCACACTCATCACTAGTCTACACGCTCCAAAAGCTACTTCCGCTGTCTGTATGTTGAGAGAGAGAGATTACTAACTAAATTTTACTCAATAACCTGGGTACAACAACCTTTCCACCTGTCCACCCACCTTTATACCCATCTATCCATCCATCTATCATTCCATCTATCCAGCCATATACTAATCTATCGATCTGTCCAACTTTAATCACTCCATCTATCAATATACTTATACATCCATCCATCAACTCATCTATCTAGCCATCTATCTGTCCATCTACTCATCTATCTAACCATCTCTCCCTCCATCAATCGCTCCATCTATTTATGAATCTATCTATCTATCTCTGACACTATATCTTTCTATCAATATATTTACCCGTCTATTCATCTATATATCCATCCATACACCAATCTGTGTATCTCTCTTGCAATACATTTTTACATCCATCCATCAATCTATCCACCCATCTATGTGTCTATTCATCGATCCATCCATCTAGATAGATGGACAGATAGATGGGTGGATCGATGGATAAATAGACACATAGATGGGTGGATAGATTGATGGATGGATGTAAAAATGTATTGCAAGAGAGATACACAGATAGATGTATGGCTGGACATATAGATGAACACTATAACACTGATATATCTATCCATCAGTCCATCCACCTTGACGCCTTGAAGTATTATGAGTATGTCTGGGAGTTTTGGACTTCAAAATGGTGGCATTCCTGATGGCTCTCCAAGTCAGTTTGACTAAGTGTCTCCGCTATCTTCCCCTTAGGACAGCAGGGACACCAACAAATGGTAAATAAATACAAGAGTGGTAAAGATGGGAAGAGGTTAAGAATGTTAAGGGGAGAAGAGGAATGAGGGAGGTGGTGGAGGAAGGAGAGAGGGGAGACGGGGGGGGGGGGTGTAAAGGAAGAGAGACAAGGAGCGTGAAAAAAGAGAAGAGACATAGAGGGTGAGGGGGAGAAACGTGCTAAGGAGGGAGAGGAGAAGAGAGACCCGGGCACCGCCGGGTTCCCATTCATAATATAAACCACATCAATTACTCAGTATAGTTACGGGCTATTCATGCCCGTGCCACCTCTTGGGTGGCTTAATCTTCATCATCATCTCAGTATAGTCTAGCTGATTTTTTTTTTTTTTTTTTTTTTTTTTTCATTATTTTAATCCCACACTTCACGTAAGGTTAAACAAAAATGAAATGAAATTGTTTTTTAATAGGTAATTTACATTTCAATGAGGTATTTCGTCCATTTATTAGTCTAAAGTGATGTTGGACTTACAAATTAACAAACAGTCCAGAAATGAGCGTCTTACCAGAGACATCATCTAGAAACATCAACGCAACATGAGCAAATGTTCAGGCATCATACTTCCCAAGTGTTGATAAACACTGTAGCAACATATAATCTTACTGAAGCAAACATACGAGTCATAAATGCTCATCCACCGCCTAAGTAAGACACAAATGAGTAACAATGGGGAAGCCAGAGGCTTAGGGCGCCGCAGGAAAATACTTACAAAAATAAACTATTAACAACATACTTCCCCCAGTGTAATCACAGTCTTAGCACTAGTCAGTGATAGTCACCGTACTAAAATAGTGTAGATACTTTTTCAACACGAGGTACTATCCCAACACTAGGTACAAATAGTCACCATACTTCACTAGTGCAGATACTGACCCAGTACTAGGTACAACTAGTCATATACTACACTAGTGTTGCTACAGTCACAACACTAGGAACAACTAGTCACCATGCAACACTAGATACAACTATTCAATATACTACACTAGTGTTCAGACGATGAGTCACAGTAAAGTGGTTGAAAAATTTTGACCAAACCACACAGTAGAAAACGAAGGACGACCACGTTTCGGTCCGATCAGGACCACAATCGACTTGAGAATGGTTCTGGACGGACCGAAACGTCGTCGTCCCTTCACTTTCTAGTGTGTGGTCTGGTCAACACTAGTATTGTTACTGTCACAACACTAGTATTGTTACTGTCACAACACTAGGTACAACTAGTCACCATACTACACTAGTATTGTTACTGTCACAACACTAGGTACAACTAGTCACCATACTACACTAGTATTGTTACTGTCACAACACTAGGTACAACTAGTCACCATACTTCCCTAGTGTATTTACAACCTCAGCACTGGGCACTACTAGTATCCAAACTGCATAACTTAAAAGAACATTTTGCTCGGTAACTTGACTTAGGAATAATGATCTGGACTGAAATGTTTGTAGCTACAACGTCGACAGCCTATTCGGTCTACAGTCCTGCCTCTGAGTACATGTACTCTACAGTACCATGTAATCCCTTCACTCACTTCTATTGTTAATGTTGTCTACGGCTCTTAAGATAACTCGCTCAATTCTCGCCAGTTTGCTGCGAGAATTGATTAACTATAAAAATATCTAATAAATGCATGAATTAATGAAAAAATACTAAACTTAAAATGCAAATAATATACAAGTCGAAATTCTTAAATACCAGACTTTTTTTTTACATAATAATTTGTATGTCCTGAACAGCCACTCCTCCTGTTTAGAACTTGTAGTAACGATATGGATCATCAAACATATATTGACGTAATGGACAATTCAAAAGTAGAATTTGGACAAATTGGAAAAGGTTTTGTATTTATGTTGCTAATAAAACCTAACCTAACCATCCTTGGCCTAATACGCTATTTGAGGTCTATTATAGTACATATTTGTGCTATACTAGAACTAGGAATATATAAGTTTGGTTTTTAGCTTTATTTTTCCGGACTCTATAAAATAAATAGTACCAAATTCTATTATCTAAGTGTCCATTACGTCAATATATGTACGATGGTTCACACAGTTACAAAAAGTACTAGCTAAACAGGAGGATGTCTTGTCCTGAATAAAGTCCCCTAGCAAGGCTGTAACAAGTTCTTCAAGTATGCACTTTTGCACAAATAAGTTTGGGACATGAGAGTCATCTTGATGTTAGAGTGCGACCTAAGGGTGCAGCTGGGCCTGCTGGGTCAGCTCCGCTGTGGAGAACACCTTCATCAGCTGCTTGGCAGAGACAGGACAGGTGCTGTACACGGCGGCGCAGCTTTGGCTCGGGTTGGTGGACCTCCTTCCCAGCCAGGCGGCCTCGTCGTATGCCCTTCTGGAGTTGCTCAGGTCCGTGTTGGCTGGGGCGTCCGTAGAGGAGCTGAGGACGTGGTAGAGGAGAGAGGTTAGGGCGGAGCTCCAGCACTTATACGAGTACCAACGATGCAATTATTAATCTGCTTGATATAATTTACTACGCCCTTGACAAAAATGAGTTTCCGATTGGACTCTTCATTGACCTGAGAAAGGCATTTGATATTGTTAATCACAATTACCTCTTACGTAAACTCTAGCATTATGGAATCCGAGGCCATGCACTGGAATTTATCCAATCCTATCTTAGTGATAGACACCAATGTGTTGCCATCAATAATATAACCTCTCCCCACTCTACCTATAACCGTTGGAGTGCCACAGGGCAGCATCTTGGGCCCTCTCCTATTTCTTATATACATCAATGATCTGCCTAATGTCTCTAGCATTCTGAAACCTATTTTGTTTGCTGATGATACTACCCTCATCTACTCTAACCCCAACCCACATACACTAAATAATGTTGTTAATAATGAACTAAAAAAAGTCCACTTATGGATGTCAACCAACAAACTAACACTTAACATAGAAAAGACCTACTACATCTTATTTGGAAGCAAATCTACAAATGCAGTTCGGCTTCAGATAGACAATGTAAACATTAGCAATAAAAATGATGGAAAGTTTCTTGGCCTATTCCTAGGCAAGAGACTCAACTTCAGCACCCACATACAACACATAACTAAGAAAGTCTCTAAAACAGTTGGTATACTCTCCAAAATCAGATATTATGTACCTAACTCTGCTCTCATCTCTTTATATTATGCACTAATCTATCCCTATCTTAATTATGGTATCTGTCCATGGGGTTCAACCACTGCAAACCACCTCAAGTCCATCATCACCCAACAAAACTCTGCTATCAGAATAATAACAAATTCTGCTTTCAAACAACTCTCAGCCCCCTTGTTTAACTCCCTAAACATGCTAAACATAATCTCGCTCCACAAATTCTCTTGTGTCAACTACATTTACAAAACCTTGTTCTTAAATGCAAATCCTGCTCTGAAACTCTCCCTGGACAAATGTAATAGGACCCATTATCACCACACCAGAAATAAATATCTCTTTGATATCCACAGAGTCAAACTTAATCTGTGTAAACACTCTATGCAAATAAAGGGACCCAGTCTATGGAACTCACTCCCTATTGAATTGAAAAGCTGTCCAACTTTTGCGTCATTCAAAAACAATACTAAAAAGTACCTAATTTCATGTTTATAAATTTTTGTATCTTTTGCTTTAAAATTGCACTGTATCTATTGCTACCCAATCTCCCAATCTTTATGTACCCAATCGGAACAACTTTACCATTGTGATCATTGCTGTCTTCTTATATGTGCTATCAATCTGCTGTATGGTGTCTATTATTCTTGTTTAAATTACCAATCAAGCTGTCAATGTAATCAATCAGAGCTTTAATATACCAATGTGCTTTAATATACTTACTAATCTCTCTCATCTCATTTTTTTTCATGCAATGTATTTGTTATCATTTTATTAATACTGCTAGAATTTACCTACTTAAAATTATCTGTTAGATTAAGGACCTGCCCGAAACGCTGCGCATACCAGTGGCTTTACAAGATTGTAAATACTATGCTATGTATTCTCACAAACCCAGTGTACCTTCTTGTATATAAATAAATAAATAAATAAATAAAGTACCTTCTTGTGCCCAACGTAGTCTCTACATCAGCTAAACCATAACTAAGTAGCACTTAATTCCTTGTGATTATTAATTCAAGTACAGCAGTTTAGTGCACAATATAGTAAAATAAAGTGGAAAATTTAATGAACTATACTATAATAATTCAATAATTAATAATATAAGCAAAAAATAAAGCTTCAATAATAATATGTAATCTAGGTAATAATTACATTTTAAATTAATAATATATAAAAAAATTAATGTTACAGTATTAAATGATGTAAGCAAAAACTTCAAACTTTAATAATTAAATATCATAGCAAAAATTAAAGCTCAATAATTAATAAACAAGTTTTTGGTGAACACTAATCATTAAACTATGCTTCACACGTGAACAGACCCGCTAGGCTACAGATAGTCCTCCACGGACGCGAATACTCAGTGCCTATACAAAAATAGACAGGTGTTTGTGTGTACATAACTTACATATTTACACAATTACCTGAACACTGCCATTATGAGCTGCTCGTCGTGAGTGAGGGTGTGGGCGGGTGCGGCGGCCAGCTCACACACCAGCCGAAGAACACACCCGTCAGCGTCCTCCTCTCTCAACACTCTGAACTGCTCCTCCTCCTCCTGCAGGAGGGACCCGCTCGCCACCTCCAGGGTGCCGGGGACCGGCCCAACACTCTGATGGAGAGACGCCTGGACGTTGGACTCTTGTACGTATTTATAAGGACAGTTGCACACACACATATATACAAACGGATGTATTCTTATTGAAGCCTAAACAAAATAAAAAGTTAAATTTTGTCAAAACATCTTAATTTTGTTTGATTTCGAACTTGTGGCGATTGAAAAGGTTAGCAGACTTCTAGATGTTACCACTGCTAGGCTCAGCTACAAGTACCTCTGGGAGTTTGCAATATCTGATGATGTAGAGTTGACCAAATGTAAATTCTGTCAGCAGAACTATTAGCATACTTTACGTCATTATATAATGGGATATGAAAAAATTGCGGAATTCAGAGATAACACCATCAACGGAGTCCAAGAAATGTGTAAGTACTTAATTCATAATGATCTTAGCGAAGTATCCAAAATCTGCTTACTGTAGGTGCAGCATGCACATGACTGTAAAGCTGCCGCCCAGTTGAGTGGATGTGGAGAAAGATTAGTAACTGCGTAACTCACAATAAGTGTAAAGTGCCTTGTATAGTGACTATTTATGAACCTCATTTTGAATCACGTGTTTTAAAAAGATTATTGATATGTATTTGTGAACACGGCTGTGTATATATATGTACATGTGAATGTAACATTATTAATTATGTAACTAGCTTTACAAGATTGTCACTTGCTAAGCTAAACGAACTATGTGGTTCAGTTCCAGAACCGATTATGTACATTTGTAACCCTTTCCACCATTGCCCTCGGGATGGGTATGGGGTGTATAATAAAGAAAAAATTGATTGGCGATTCAGAATTTGCACATAATACCCAAAATTTATATACGAATTTCTTTACTATAATACCTCAGTCGTTTGGAATTATTATTTGTTATGGTACGGTATTTCACAACATGTAAATTAATTTTATTGCATACTTAGTACTATGCTCTTTTTTCTCTTAATTTACAAAATTTACTTTCGAATTTAATCGCTTTGATTCACTGTTCTTTTAAGTCGCTGCATGTTCAGAGTTCACAGGACATCCGACTAGTTTAAATGTACATATTTTAGGTAAAGAAAGTAATCCCAAGAAAGTTTCCTTTAGTAAGACCACAACCTGGACACATTCGATGCTGTGTTGCAGGTCTAAGACATACATGCTTGAAGAACAATTTGATATTGTATAGAGATAACCAGTGTCTGATAAATAGACAAATACGGCAAGACCCAAAGACGAACAATATTTTCGTAAACGTCCAAATAGTTAGGTAAAGGTCTGAGATGATTCACATATGCGAAGATAATGATATAACATAAAAACATAATTAATTATGAAATAAAATAATTATCAAGTTATCAGGCCGCCCGGACCCAAAGTGCGCAGGATCCCACCTTTGTGTCACGCTTGCCTCTCCTGTAGTGGTCATCGAAGTAGCTAGCCGGGACGATGTAGAAGGCTGGAGGTCCGCCGCCGGTGTAGTGGGAAGGGCCGTAGCTGGGCCGGGAGTCGTAGCCAGAATCAGCCAAGTCACGGAAAGGAGAGCCTAGACTAGGCAGACCTTCGGAGTTCTTCGACCCTAAGACACCTTTTTTCAGCTTGGCCAATCCAATTAATTTAAGAACCTGAATGGGATAAAATCAAGCTAAATAAACTTATAGTATTAAACACACTATGCCCAGTAATTCCGTGAACAAGAAGCATTAAGGAAGGTTGATGTTGGGTCAAGTTCTCAGCAGGACCAAGACGTTGGAGCTTACCTTAAGAGCGGCGAGGTCGAGGGTGCCTTCACTCTCCGGCAGCAGGACCACCACTGCGCACACCACCAGCATCACAGCCCGCATCCTGAGCTGTGGAAGCTGCAGCATTAGTTACTGTGCCACACAAGGTGACAAGAGCTACATTGGTTACTGTGCTACACAAGGTGACATGAGCTACATTACTTTCTGTGCAACAGAAGGTGACAAGAGCTACAACATTAATTACTGTACCACACAAGGTGACAAGAGCTGTAGCATTAGTTACTGTACCACACAAGGTGAGAAAAGCTTCACCATTAATACGGAGCCACACAAGGTGTCATGAGCTGTGAACACCGTAGAGGCACCTTCAACAGTTAAGGATATATAAATGTCTACAACCAAACTGTTAAATAGTCAGTTTGTGGATACATGTTTGTTGATTTGGGATTAAATTAGTTTTGTATATAATATTAATATTTCAATTGTCGATAGTAAATTATAAAAATAATCAGATCTTCAAATGGTAAATATGTGAGGCACTGAGACAGCTTGGCCCCGGCCTACAAGCGGCACTATGACCACAATGTAGGAACTTACGAGGCACTGAGACAGCTTGGCCCCGGCCCACAAGCGGCAATGTGACCACAGTGTAGGAACGTACGAGGCACTGAGATAGCTTGGCCCCGGCCCACAAGCGGCACTGAGACCACAGTGTAGGAACGTACGAGGCACTGAGATAGCTTGGCCTCGGCCCACAAGCGGCACTGAGACCACAGTGTAGGAACGTACGAGGCACTGAGACAGCTTGGCCCCGGCCTACAAGGGGCACTGTGACCACAGTGTAGGAACGTACGAGGAACTGAGACAACTTGGCCCCGGCCTACAAGCGGCATTGAGACCACAGTGTAGCCAAGACTGCAACAGTGTACGGACGAGGCGGTAACTAGAGATTGTAGCGTAATTAACACTTCAACATATTAAATAGTTTGTGCTTTATCATCTTGGTGAAGAGGACGTCACAGCTTGTGGTCAACACTAGACACTTTTCATACATCATTCTTACCGCTACTAGCCTTGAGAAGCGGGATTAACATCACCAATATTGAATAATTCTCTTTTATCGTTAATAACAAATTTCAAAGTCATTCTGCAACAAAGTAATATGAAATTTTCACATTTTCTGGCACAAACATCAGAGTCTTTAACAAAGGAATGTAGAGAAACTGTTGACTACTTCCGTCAGTACAGGAGCGCTTGAGACCTTCAGGAGGACATGGACGCGGTCAAATTGATAACAATCATGCCATTTCAAATGATTATTTCAGTACATTTTTCTATTTTCAATGTCCGAGTCATCACTTCTAGAGGGAGACGCTTCAGGGCCAGTCACTTGACTTACGTTTAGAGGAGTAGAATGTGAAGGAAACGATGGCTCTAGTCGCACTGAGGACCAGGAGACCCCGCCTGCCTTTATGTACTCTTGAATCACTCCTCTGCCTGGCCTCCCCCCTGCACACACACCCATACCCGCCCCCATACCCTCCCTGTCCCCCTTCCCCCTCACTCCATACCCTCCCTGTTCCTCCCCCCCCCCCCCACCTTCCCTTGACTCTGAGACCATGTTAACCATCTCACAAATCTCTACTCCTATGGAACAACTTCCTCCATCAGCAAAAAGACCACCAAGAAGAGGAAACGAGAATGGAAGGAAGAAAGTGAGCTTCGAGGCAATGTACACAAACATAGATGGAATTTCAAATAAAACAAGTGAACTTGCAGAATGGGCACAAGAAGAAACCCCAGACATAATAGCGCTCACTGAAACAAAGTTAATAAAAAACATAACAAATGCAGTGTTTCCGCAGGAATACTATGTAGCAAGGAAAGAGAGGGACGGAAGAGGTGGAGGTGGAGTAGCTTTCCTGATAAGAAAAGACTGGAGTTTTGAGGAGATCGTTATCTATTGCTGTGAAGGTTTTAGTGACTACATAACAGGTACCATAGCAATTGGAGGACACAGACTTATGGTAGTAGTCATATATATAACCCCCGACGAAGTGGCAGAAGACCCAGACAGGTATATGATAGAAACAGCATGACTACCATTAACATAATAGAGAGAGCAGCTTCTGTTGCTAGTAGGGACGGATCCAGACTTTTAATCATGAGAGACTTCAACCACGGGAAGATAGATTGGGAGAACAGAGACCCATATGGAGGATCAAACACATTGAGAGCTAAGCTGCTGGATGTGGGAACAAGAAATTTTCTAAGCCAATACATCAAGGAACCGACAAGAATGAGAGGAGAACAGGATCCAACCAAACTTGATCCGATATTCACCCTCAATGAGTCGGATTCCAAGGGGGTTTGGAAGCTCCCTTGGGATTGAGTGATCACAGTGTACTGATATTTGAGTACCTGGTAGAGTTAGAAGTAATCTCACCCCAAAAATAACTAGAAAACAAGGGGCTGGCATACCGAAAGGGAAATTATGAAGAGATGAGAAAATTCCTAAGAGAAATACCATGGGACACAGAACTCCAAAATAAGACCGTAAAAGACAGGAGTAAGCGGGAAGGCCCTAGCATTAGTAAGGAACTATCTAGCAGGAAGGAGTCAGAAAGTAACGGTAAATGGCGTGAAGTCAGACTGACGAACAGTAACGAGAGGAGTATCTCAAGAGTCGGTGCTGGGACGAGTTCTATTTGATATATACGTAATGAAATGTTTACAGGAGTAGAATCCTATATGTCGATGTTTGCGGATGACGCAAAAATGAATGAGAAGAGTTGTGACAGATGAGGATTGTAAGATCCTCGAAGAGGACTTGAACAGGTTGCAGAGATGGTCAGAGAAATAGCTACTGAAATTCAACACGAGTAAATGTAAATTTTTGGAAATGGGATTAGGTGACAGGGGACCAAAGGGACAGTACACATTGAAGGGAAACTACATGCCTGTGACGATTCGAGAAAGAGACCTGGGCGTGGATGTATCAACTAATCTATCTCCTGAAGCACATATAAATTGGATAACGACAGCAGCGTACTCTACACTGGCGAAAGTTAGAACATCATTCAGAAACTTAACTGGGGAGGCTTTTAGGGCGCTTTACACTGCCTACGTGAGACCAGTCTTAGAGTATGCCGCTCCATCATGGAGCCCCCACCTGAAGAAACACATAAGAAAACTGTTAAAGGTTCAGAAGTTTGCGATGAGGCTTGTCCCAGAGTTACGAGGGATGGGATATGAAGAGCGCCTGAAGGAACTGAACCTTACGACAATAGAAAAAAGAAGGGAGAGGGGGGATATGATAGGAACGTATAAAATACTTACGGGGGACTGACAATGTGGAAATAGACGAAATGTTCACACGGAATAGTAACAGAACGAGGGGACATGGGTGGAAGCTGGAAACTCAGATGAGTCACAGAGATATTAGGAAGTTTTCCTTTAGCGTGAGAGTAGTGGAAAAATGGAATGCACTTAAGGAGCAGGTTGTGGAAGCAAATTCTACTTATAATTTTATAACTAAGTACTGGTGGCTGAGCGGACAGAACACTGGACGCGTGATCCTGTGGTCCCGGGTTCGATCCCGGGCGCGGCGAGAAACAATGGGCAGAGTTTCTTTCACCCTGATGTTCCTGTTACCTAGCAGTAAATAGGTACCTGGGAGTTAGTCAGCTGTCACGGGCTGCTTCCTGGGGGTGGAGGCCTGGTCGAGGACCGGGCCGCGGGGACACTAAAGCCCCGGAATCATCTCAAGATAACCTCAAGTTAGATATGATAGGGAAATGGGACCGGAGTCATTGCTGTAAACAACTGATGGCTAGAGAGGCGGGATCCAAGAGTCAATGCTCGATCCTGCAGGCACAAATAGGCGAGTAAAAACACACACACACACACACACACACACACACACACACACACACACACACACACACACACACACACACACACACACACACACAGCATGGACTCCATGCTGGAGTGTATGGCTCCAGCATGGAGTCCATATCTAGTCAAGCATAAGACTAAACTGGAAAAAGTTCAAAGGTTTGCCACCAGACTAGTACCCGAGCTGAGAGGTATAAGCTACGAGGAGAGACTACGGGAATTAAACCTCACTTCGTTGGAAGACAGAAGAGTTAGGGGGGACATGATCACCACATTCAAGATTCTCAAGGGAATCGACAGGGTAGATAAAGACAGGCTATTTAACACAAGGGGCACACGCACTAGGGGACACAGGTGGAAACTGAGTGCCCAAATGAGCCACAGAGATATTAGAAAGAACTTTTTTAGTGTCAGAGTGGTTGACAAATGGAATGTATTAGGAAGTGATGTGGTGGAGGCTGACTCCATACACAGTTTGAAGTGTAGATATGATAGAGCCCAATAGGCTCAGGAACCTGTACACTTGTTGATTGACGGTTGAGAGGCGGGACCAAAGAGCTAGAGCTCAAACCCCGCAAGCACAATTAGGTGAGTACACAGTGACGCCCCTACGCATATTTCCCTCAAAATTCTTGCCTGTTGTCCCTTCCTCTCCGTCCAAAGGGTTACCCGCTGCCTTTCACTTCTGGTTCATCCCGCATGTAACAACAATGTGTCCCTCTTCCTGGGAGAGTTCGACCCATCCTACCCTCCCTGAGGTCATCTACATCAGTATTGCCTTTTAGATTTTCTACATCTAGACTCCAGGTGATTTCAGTTGCGTCTGGATGTTAGAAAAGACTTTTTCAGCTATCAGATGTATATCTAGATGGTTTTATTAGAATCTTGGATGTTTTAGATTTTACTAAATTTGTACCTGAACATTTATTTGCAAGTTTTCGCGTGTCCTATCGTAGGGTCATCTTTTTTTCAATGGTCGATTTGTTCTTTCTGTATAAAGCAAGTGATCCCTTGATTGTTTCAAGCGTAGGTCAGACATATGTACGAAAGAGATTGGGTCGATATTTATAGGAGCTGCCTTGTATGGGCCAATAGATCTTCTGCATTTACCTTCATTCTTATGTTCTTATGATCTTAAGTAGCATCACTGATCTTCTCACGAGGAAACGGTTATAACGAAAAAAGACTCGAACCCATACTCC